TGCCTTGAACTCACAGCAATCCTCCTGCCTCAGCCTCCCGAGTGCTGGGATTACAGGTGTGCACTACCACAAATGGCTTTCCACCTGATTCTTTGTCATAACTGTAATTAAGTTAATTCCATCTCTACCTTATCTTTGGAAAACATGGTTTTTGGATGTTCATCCTGTGTTCGGGACTGCCACGTTAGGTTGGCCAAAGCACTAAGGCACATTTCCTTCAAGTCTATCAAAAACAAAAAGAAAAAAGTTACCTATGACTACTACATTTTCATTACCAAGGGAATATTCAGTATAAGACAGCCCACAAAATATCAAGTAGCATAGCCAAAAATAAGTCATTTGATCTGGAATCGGAAATAGCAACTTGACTTCTACCAGCTATGAGCCAAAGGTCTTCTGATTCTGGTCCCTTTTCATTTTTCAGTAGACAATCATTTAGAAATATTGCAGAGTTGTTCTTACTTGCTTGTTTCCGGAGGAAATAGGTATTCCCACTATGATGGCATACATTGCAATGAAAACTGTAGTTGGTCATGAAAGGTAGACAGGATCTGTGGATCAGCCAAAGCATACAGATAAGTGAACTTCAAATACACGCTTGTAGACACAAATCAATAGCTGTAGTTATTTTAATTCAAATACAATATGAATACAAAATGGAAAGAGCAGCCCCTTTCCTACCCTGCTCACATTCTCTCAGTCATAAAGATAATTCATCCCAAGTACCGAGAATCATGGTTAGTTCTGCCATTGCTTCTTAAAGGCCCCAAAGGGCTGTGTGATGAGGCTGTAGTAGAACATTGACTTTCTATAGTATCTTCTAAGCTACGTACAAAAGCTATGCACCCACCAGTAGATGATCAAACTGCTTGTGTCTTAATACCATTTCTTCCCTCTTCTGATAGATCCTCTGAAGTTCAAGTACAAATGTGCATTTTACTCTGATCCCCTTGGCCATTCATGTTAGCCAATCTTTCCATATATGTTAGTTGATTTAACAGCTCTTCTGGGAAGGGCTGTTTCTAGCAACTCCAGGGCACTAAACATTAAGTCAGCCTTCAGATAATGCCTGGCTGTCCTGAGAAATGAGACTGGCGGACAACAGAACCACCAGGACCTGATGGAAGTGTTCTTAGCATGACATTTCCAGACTCCCTTTCACATTAAGAACAAATATAAAAGTCTTGGCCCGGACAGCACTGTCCTGTCTTGGACTTGCCTGCCGCAGTACTGCTGTGCATCAACAAGCTCCTAACTCTTCTACAGTCCGTGACTTCTGGTCATTTCTTTTTCCTACCCATGGTACTGGCCTCCCTGATACCATGTAGCTGGGCTTCTGGGGTAATTTCTCAAATTCAGGTACAAACTGGACTCTGAAAAGCTAACCAAATTCTCAACTGAAGCTTTATTTATCCCTGAACTACTCTTGGCCATCTCTGGTAAATTTCCATTCCTAAGCTGTCTATCAAAATACATTTTTCTTGCCCAAAGTGGTCTAATTTTAGGCTTCCTTGGTCAGTGTGTTTCCTCTACAGACCTTTTTACCAAAATCAATTCTTTCTTCCTGAATCCTCCATATTTTTCTTTCTGTTTTAAACACTCTATCCCAGGTCATCAGTCATGTGTTAATTGGTAATTAGTATTTCTAAAATCTACTTAAACTTTTTAACTGTCAAGTATATAATAAATCATAAAAGAGCCTGTAATCCCAGCACTAGGAGGCTGAAGCAGGAGGATTCCCACAATTCAGGCCAGCTTGAACCTCATAGTGAGACCCAAGTCTCCCTAATTCAAGGAGCGCAAATAAAACCAGGTCATCCACAAGTCCAGTATGGTTACTCTTTCTCCCTACCTAAAAAAGTTATCTGGAATCTTCAATGAATTTTGCAAGAAAAATGATTCACCAAGTATGAGATTAAAACAAATTTTTCTTCAATGAGACTAAGTTATATCCAGACTTCAAAGTCTAGGAGTGTTTCCTGCATGGTTCATCTCCTTAGTCACGGTCTGAAGGATTCAGAGAAGTAGGAATATGCAGGTGCAGATAGGAAGCTCAGCTTGTTCTCCAAAGTTGTGGAAAGAGACTGTACATCATAGGGCAGCTCTGACTGATTTTAGAATCCAGTTCTTATAAAAGTACTCACGAGGTATCTATGCCAAAGGTATCTGCTGTGAACCACTTTGTGCATATCCCACACTGCAATTCTACCTCTCCCAACTGTCGGCCATTCTCTTCATCCACAGAGCCAGCTTGAGTATCCATTGCCTCCGAAGGATCCCCAGCACCTTCCTGTGACCAAGAGCAATTACAGAGCCAAATATAATGCACTTTTCATTTGCTTAAACACATGTGGGAGATATAGCTCAGTGGTATAGCATTTGCACAGCATGCACGAAGTCCTGGGTTTAGTTCCCTGCACTGGAAAAATAAATTTGAAAAGTAAATTACAGCTGGTTGTGGTGGTGCATGCCTGTAATCCTAGCACTCAGGAGGCTGAGGCAGGAGGATCATCTCAAGTTTGAGGCTAGCCTGGGTAATATAGTAGGTTCAAGGACAGCCTGAATTACATAGTAAGATCCTGTCTCAAAAAAAAAAAACCAAATTAAATTAGAGAGAAGGAAGGGGAAGAGGTTAAAAAAGGAATTAAGGACTGGGCATGGTGGTGCATGCCTGTAATCCCAGCACTTGGGAGGCTGAGGCAGGAGGACTGTTGCAAGTATGAGGTCAGCCTTGGCTACAAAGTGAGCTCAAGGCCAGCCTGAACTTCATAGTGAGACCCTGTCTCAAAAAAGACCCCCCCTCAAAAAAAAACCAAAACAAAAAAAACCCCGCACACAAAAAAAGGAATTAAGATGTATGTATGTGTGCCAACTGTCCACAAGGAATATAAACAGTATGTACTACACACATGTACCAATAAGCTAAAATAAAAAAACAAAAAATAAATTAATTGGGGAGCTGGGTGTGGTGGTGCACCCTGTAATCCCAGCACTAGGGAGGCTGAGGGAGGAAGACTGCTGTAAATTCAAGGCCTGCCTGACCTACATAGTGAGACCCTGTCTCAAAAAACAAAACAAACCAAAAATTATTTGGACATGGTGGTGTCCACCTATAATGCCAGCACTCAGAAGGGTGAGGGAGAACAACTGCCACTAGTTTGAGGCCAGCTTGTGCTACACAAGTGAGTTCAAGACCAGCATGGATTACCTAGGGACACTCTGTTTCAAACAAATAAAATAAATAAATAAAAAGCAAATAACACCTGGCACAATGGCATAAGGTGTGATCCTAGCACTGAAGAAGGCTGAGGCAAAAGGATCCTCTCCAGAAAAAAAAAAGGACAGGGGCTGAAGCTCAGTTCTAGAGCACCCCTGGATTTAGACCCCAATAGTGTAAATACATAAGTAACTAAATAAAAAGAAATAAATACCTTATTTCCTTCTGCAAACATGCAAAAAAAAAAAAAAAATACTTACTAGTGTATCTTTTCCATTAGAGGATTCTGTCTCCAAACCGCCACTTACATCAACCAAGTTTGCATCCCTGTAAGGTAATGAATGCAGTCAAGTAAGAATTTTTAAGAGAGACCTCAAAACGCCAACTCCGAAAGATGATAATCAAATACAGCTGAACTTCACACTCTTACGGCTTTTTCAGCTGGGCCGGCTCCGAACTGGATGCCAGAGCAAGAGTGAGCTACCAGCCGCGTACCTGGTGCGAGACCCAGAAATAGAACCAGCAGCGGGGCTCGCACCTCCCAAAAGGTGGGAGAAGGGGGCGTGGCCTGCGCGGCAGTTCGGACAGACGCGCCAAGCGAAGGGCGGGGCTAGGCGCCCAGCCGTTGGCCGCGGACTAGGTCCCGAGGAGGGGCGGCGGGAACGCCCCGGGGCCGCAGCGTTCCAAAGTGCAGGTGACCCTCCACTGCCCTCCTCAGGCCGCGGACGTCTTACCCGCTTTCTGCCTCTCCAGAACTGGGTTCCGCGGGCGCCGGCGCAGACGTCCCCTCTCCGGCTGGAGCGGCTGCTATCGCTGCCACCGGTTTCGTCTCCCCATCCTCTGCAGCTAGTGCATTTGCGGCCGCTCCGGGGCCAGGTCCTGCACCCGTTCCAGGGCCGGGGCCAGTTCCCGCCGCCGCCATCGCCGCCGCCTCCCAGACGTCTCGCGAGAATACAGCCTCTGTCTCGCGCGAGTTGTTGGTTGATACTGTATTCTTCAAGTAGTAAAGGCCTCTAGTGGACCCACCCCTTGTTTGAGGACTACACACTTTATGCCACCCCGCTTTAAGGACGGGTGGGCGGGCTGCGGCCAAGATGACTGCCATAGGCTACAGCAGGTGAAGGCGTGAGTTTGTTAGTTGGGTTTCCTTTAGGCTTCGCTTCATTTTTGGTTGAACGCTGCCCCGTGCACGTAAGGTGCTGGTTGCGCGATGGCTTTGTACGTTGCGGTGTGCCTTGGAGACGTTCCTCGCTATTGAGTGTTAGAAACGTTTTACACACTCGCCGTGGCCCCTGGTGTTGAAGCCTCAGAGTCGGGGAGCCCGGGACCGGGGGACTTGAAGTTTTGTGCTTAGCGAAAGAAAGAGGTACCACTAAAGGTAGCGCCTGAGAAATCATCACCAATCGCTACGGTGAATGGAAGCATTCGCAGCCATGGCTGTTCAAATTCAAGGATACAAACCTTTAGGAATTTGGGGGCCAGGACACTATTTAGATATCTGTGTTTGGATAGATCTTAATTTCTAAAACGTTGCCGAAGAATGCACTGTTTTCTCACTTCACAAACGAAGGGCATATCTCTCTCCAGTTCTCCATCTAGGAAACTCTGGGGCAACTGACACAACTGGAGATGTATAAATATTTTGATTTCTCAGTAAGTTTTCCACAAAATTGAAGGAGGGTCTAATGGAATTACCAGGTGATAGATATTTTAAAGTTGTTGGTGATAAATGCTGATATTAGTAGGTAATAGTTTAAGGAGGAACAGGGTACTTGCTCACAATGACTCCCCCAAAATGTTTACTTATTGTGGCAGTTTTAACAGACACAAATTCTTTTTTAAAAATAGAGACATTTTTGCACATCATGAGATACATTATGGGTACGTTATGATAATTTGATACATGTGTAGAATGTGTAATAATCAAATCCAAGTAATAATTAGTCACATCTCTTCTAACTTAATTTTTAAAAAATGTGGTATTGAAGGTTGAACCCTGGCTTTTTGCACTGAGCTACATCTCCAGGTTTTTAAAATTTATTTTGAGACAGGGTCTTACTAAGTTGCCGAGTTGCCCAGGGTAGGTTCAAATTTGTGATTCTCCTGTTTCAGCCTCCCAGAGTGCTAGGATTGTTGTTGTGTGCCATGCCAGTCTTTTTTTTTTTTCCCCCAGTATTAAAGATTAAACCTCAGCCTTGCTGGGTTACACAAGCTTCACCTCTAGCTGTACCTTTAATCCTCTTTCCGTTCCTCCTTCCTGGGGATTGATCCCAGGGTTGCTGTCTCACTGAACTACTTCTTTACACCTCCAACCTTTTCTCTCTTTTTTTTTTTTTTTTTTGAGACAGGGTCTCACTTTGCAGCTCAGGCTGGCCTCAAACTTGCCATCATCTTGCCTCAGCCAACTGAGTAGCTGGGGTTACATAGACAGGAGTCACTGTGCTCAGCAACTTTCATCATTTTTATGTCTTGGGAATTTCATTCTCTAGTCATTTTGAAATGTACCATAGGTTGATTTATCTGGTAGTTACCATTTTGCGCTCCAGAAAATCAGAACTAATTATTTCTCTTTGTTTTGGTACCTTGTCTTAGTTACTTTTCTCACTGCTGAGACAAAAATACTTGATGCCAACCGAAGTTAAGAGAGGAAAGGTTTATTTAGCTCAGTCTGTAGGGTTTTCAGATCATAATTGGCTAGCTCCAAGGCAGGGTGGATTGGCAGATGAGAACAGTTCATGGTGTGCAGATGTAGCAAAGCAACAAGGGACCTTAACAGCATCTTTCTGCCCCTTTTATATCATATCTAGGCTGCTGGGATTAGGGCAGTGCCAAACCAGTCACACATCCTTAATCCCAGCATCACACACTGTAGATTCAGCCACCTCTGAAAAAGCCCCACCTATGACCACATGAGGCTTTGGAGGGACATCTAGACCCAAACCACAACATACCTCTTATCTGATTTCTTTCTGTGCTTCCTCCTGCCTCACCTTTCCACTGTCTAATGACCACTATGACCCTCCATTCTTTTATGAAATCAACTGTTAATTTTCCAGAGTCAGCTGAAAACACGTGCTTGTCTTTCTGTGTCTAGCCTATTTCATTTAGCATAATGACCTCTAATTCTATGCATGTTGCTGGAAATGACAAGATTGCATTCTTTCTATGGCTGAATAATACTCCGTTGGGTATATATACTACATTTTCCTTATCCATTCACCATTGATGGACATCTTGGTTGATTCCCTATGTTGGCTACGGTGAATAGATGAGAGCATGCAAGTATCTCTTTGGTATGATACTTCCTCTTTGAATATATTTTCGGTAGTGGGATTGCTAGATTGTATGGTAGTTCTATTTTTAGTTTTTTTGTTTTATTTTTGCTGTGATGACAAACCCAAGGCCTTGTGCTTGCACACAGGTGCTCTACCACTAAGCTACATTCCAGTCCCTATTGGTTTTTTAAGGGATCTCCATATGTTTCCATGATGACTATACCTACTGACATTCTCACTAACCATGAAGAGTCCCTCTCTCTGAATCCTTGCCAGCACTTACTACTTTTGTCTTTGTGATAATAGCCATTCTAACATGAGGATATCTCACTGTGGTTTTAATTTGCATTCCAGATGATGATACTGAGCACTTTTCCATATACCTATTGACCATTTACATGTCGTCTTTTGAGAAATATCTATTCAGAACTTGAGCCTATCTTTTAATTGGATTACTTGGGACGTTGCTATTCAGTTTTTGAAATACCTTTATATATTCTGGATACCAATCTTTTGTTGGATAAATGGTTGGCAAATGTTTTCCTCCCATTTCGTAGCTTGTCTCTTCTCTCTGTTGATTGTTTCATTTGCTGTAACAAGAAGCTTGTTAGTTTGATAGAATCCAATTTGTTTGGTTTTATTTCTGTCACCTGCACCTTCGGGGTCCTAGCCAAAAATCTTTGAACATGGCACAGCTTCGCTGATACTCCTCCCTTCCCTTGAGTGTGTGGACTGGCCTTTGCAACTTCCTTCTAACCAACAGAATGCGGGAAAAGAAAAGTAATTTGTGTCTGTGTGTGGTGCTGGGGGTAAAATGCAGCACATCATTCACTCTACCACTGAACTACATTCCCCAGGCCCCTCTGCCAAATAGTTTTTACAGCGTAGAAACTGCAGGCAGACACCCTCTTCACCAAGTGGTCAAGGTTAATGATGCTAGTGGTAAGTCACGTTGATATCATGTGTTCCCTGATACTTTGTCATGAGAAGACTGGATCGTATCTGTGGTATTCTTCCTGCAAATCCACAACCCCAGTCTGAGGAAAAACCTCACTGGACTCTAAATCGACAATTATTCTAAAAAATATGTATCCAGTACCCTTCAAACTATCAAGATCCGAGCTAAGTGTGATGGCATACACTTGTAATTCTAACTACTTCAAGACCTGTCAAAAGTTTGAAAAGGGGGTTTGTGTGGAGAAGTAAGTCAGTGGCAGAGCACTTACCTAACACGCATTAGGCCCTGGGCTCCAGCCTCCCTAAAACACACAGTCCCTAGACAAATACTTGGCTCTGAAGGAGGGGAAGCACCCTGGTAATAACTGTTGGGGAGTAGGCTGATGAAACTTCACCAGTAAGGAGTTAGAGGTTAAAAAATGCAAGAGTTACCTGTAATCCCACCCCTCTGGGGGCAGAGGCAGGAGGATCCTCACAAGTTGGAGGTCAGCCTGGGCTACATAGCAAGATCCTGTCTCAGTAACCCCTCCCTGCAAATACAGGAGAGATGGCAGCTAGTGGAGCAGTTTTCCAAAAAAAGTGTGCAGAGTGACTGAGTCAGTTGATGAAGGCAGAGAGTTAGACTTGATTCTGAGGAAGGAATTCTTTTCATATCCCCAGACAGGAACAGGAGACCATGGAAAAATATCAGGGGCTGGCAGTGAGAGCCTGGCTGAGCTAGGACAATGCACATATGTCACTGATTTTTATCTTCCTTGCCTTGCCTCCATAGCAGTTTGTTATTTAAGAATAATTTTAATTATAACAATTAGAAGCTGGGCCTGCAGATCTCCAATGGGTAACTAACAGCAGGATAAAGTGCAGTGGCACTGTCCCTCACCCTTTGAGGCAGTCTTGCAGTGTTGTCCAAGCTGACTTTGAAGGCACAATCCTCCTGACTCAGCTTCCTGAAAGCTGAGATTACAAGCATTTGTAATGTAAGCCTTGATGCTTTGCCTTTATTTTATATGTCTTCTGTATTACTTTAAAACCTTGCAACAAACTGGCAATACAATGTTTATTAGACCTAAATTGACCTAACCCTTTTTTTTTTTGCTACCAGGAATCAAACTCAGGACCTTGCACCTGCCAGGCAGGTGTTGTGCCACTGAGCTATATCCCTTGTCTGACCTAACCTATCTTTGTCATCATTTAAGACTGAGGACATGAAGATAAGAATAACAAAGGTGTTTTTAAGATTTCTAAGGACATGGCCAGGTGGTGGCATGCACCTATAATCCCAGCACTCAAGAGGCTAAGGCAGGAGAAACACCAAGAGTTTGAGCCAGCCTGGGCTACATAGTGAGTTCAAGGCCAGCCTGAACTACAGAGTGAGACTCTGTCTCAAAAACGAACAAACAAAAACCCCACAAAACACATCTCCAATCCTTGTTCCAGGAGAATCAGAGTCTTGAGACCACCTCTTGATGCAGCTGCTATCTCACAGGAAGGGCAGCCTACTTAGCAGATTGATGCTGTAGGTCTGGGGTGGGGCCTGAGATTTTTGCAGCAGAGAATTTCCTTCAGGCTGGAGGGAAAGTGAGACTGGAGGATCCTCTTGTAGTCATATCCTGTTCCTCACTGGGTGTGGAGGTGGGAGGTGGCTGTGTTAGAACTGCAGTGGAGGCACTGAGATCACCGGCTTAATCTAGCCTGTCCTTCTGAGGCCCCTGTGTTGAAGAGGCTTGGTCCCTAGCCCATGGTGCTGTGGGAGGGCCACGTTGGAGGCCTTTGTGGGGCTCATCTGGCCCTTCCTATCTGACCCTTCCTTGTTTGCTTCCTAGCTGTGTGTGACTTTTCTCCCACCCCGTGCTCCTGCTATGATGTGCCTAAGCATCGTGGAGGAAAACCCTCTTTATAATTGATGATCTTCGGTGTCTGCTGCAGTAATAGGAGGCTATCACAACGATGGAGCTGAGGGTAAGCGAAGCTACTCAATCTGAGAAACACACATCTGGGAGTTAGCAGAGACCTAAAGGAGGGGAAAGAGAAGAATGAGGTTGTTCTGTTGAACAAGACAGTGGGAAAATAGTGTCACAACTTCTTCCCTGATGAAAGGAAGGGTCTGACTGTGCTGTAAATATTGGTGTAATTGCTACTTGGGGATTTAAGCTTTCATGATTCAGTCACACAAGAGCCGAGACCTCTGCTGGATCTGAATGTCCCCTGCTCCCTGGAGCACTGTGTCTGCCAGGTACCAGCCTGTGACAGCTACACTGGACAGTCAAGGTCGGGATCAGCAGCCCTTCCTTGGTATGGCCATGCTCATCCCTGAGGAGCAAGCAGGACACTTCAAGCTCGACATAAGGAAGAAAGACCTGGAACCTCCAGGTGGGAGAGGCAGTGGTGGAAGGTTTTGATTGGGGTAGTAACTAAGGCATCCTGTCAACCGAGGGACCATCCATTCATGATTGAATGGCATTTCCAACCGTATACTGACTCCAGCAAAAAATGGTGCCATCTTGTTCCTCTTGTTTGAGGTCTCCTAAACCCAGGGATGAGCTGGGACATACCTTATTACACACCCTAAGGTGCTTCCCCCAAGTCTTCTCCTCCAGGAAGTGAGATGGCGCCCTGCATCACAAAGGCAGATCTGGTGTAGGTGCCATTTACGGAGGCAAAGGGACAGTCCTGTTACTTTTCCCTAAAATCAGACCAGTGTCATGAGTGATCCTGAGCTTTAGTTGATCAGGCTTCAAGAATATTTGGACTTCCTGGAGTTACAGTAATATATTAGGGGCTGGAGGTGTAGTTCAGTAGAAGTCACTTATCTGGCATGTGTATCATGTGTGAGACCCTGGGTTTGACCTCTAGCACTACAAAAATAAAAAGTGTGTTTCAAACCAGGCATGGTGGTGCACACCTATACTTCCAGCACTCACGAGGCAGGAGGATTGCTGTGAGTTCAGGGCAGCCTGAACTACATAGCGAGACCCTGTCTCAAAAAGAATGAAAACAAAAAGTATATTTCAAAATTGCTGAAATTTCAGATGTTCTCACCACAGAAAATAATAAAACATTTGAAACGATGGGAATATTAATTGGTTTTATCTAATCATTCCACATTGGCTATGTAGAGCTTAACATGTACTCCATAAATGTGTATGATTGGTGGATTTATAAGTGCAAGGTCCTGAGTTTAATTCCTGGTACCAAAAAAAATTGGTATCAGTGCTGCTATGTAGGATATCAAAGCTTTCTAGTATACTAGATGTCTCTTCTTGAAGCTCAGGAAGAAACAGCCAGGCTTCCTGGGCGGTTCTTGTTTGTTTTCTGATACTATACTTGATCCTAGCCAAAAGCCTGAGAAACTATATTTGTTTATTTTCTGAGGCACGGTATTGCTATGAAACCCAGGCTGGCCTCAAACTTGCAGTGATTCTCCTGCCTCAGCCTCCCGAGTGCTAGGACTATAGGCATGCCACCATGCCAGGCTGCATTTGTACTTTCTAAAGGGCTTAGAAGATGAAACTGAAAAGAAAAAAAAAAAAAGATGAAACTGTTCCAAGAGTTGGGTAGGTGCTTGAGTGGCTATATCCATACTTGTGATTCAGGGCTGGGAATATAGCTCAGCGGTGCAAGTGCCTGCCTGGCAAGTGCAACATCCCGAGTTTGATATCCGGTACCAAAGGGGAAAAAAAAAAAGCATACTTGTGATTCCAAATTAAGCCTGAACCCATCCTAGAGAGGCTAAGGAAGTAGTTTTAGTGGAGATCCCCACTTTTGTTTGAGTACCTATAGCATCTTCTCGTTTCTTCCCAGTGGAATCCAAATGAAATAACACTTTCCAGGAAGTACAATGCTTTCCTTCATCCAACAGACACTTCCAGCAGGGGGCAGCATGAAGCTGAGTATTATGAAACAAATCCCTAGCCAGACATGGTGGAACATGCTTGTAATCCCAGCACTTGGGAGGTTGAGGCAGGAGGATCATTGTGAGTTGGAGGCTAGCCTGGGATGCATGAGTGAGTCCCTGTCTCAAAAAACAAAACAGAAGAAATCTTTAGTCCCTCTCAGTCTCTGCATAGCGGGGTCCTTCCTGTCTTCTGCTTAGGGGTCAGGGGAGCCTGACCATGCTAAAGCCTGTACCTTATTTCCAGGAGAGCAGGTTTGTGACTTCAGCAATAAAAACCAAGTGCACAAGAACAAGACTCACATGTGGCATCAGTCCCTAAAGACGTGTGGCACCCACCGGAAGCCTAGCTCCTTGAAGGCAGGAGTTTTGTGTACTACCCTGTCCCTAGGTCAGGGCCCAGCACACAGTAGGGACTCAACAATGCATATCACCTTTTCATTCCTGGCAGGGTAGGGAGCACTGCTGGCAACTGAGCCCAGGGCCTTCACACTGAGCTACATCTCCAGCCTTTGTAATTTTCTCAGATAGGGTCTTGCCAAGTCACTAAATTGCCCAGGCTGGGCCCAAATTTGGCAAATCTGCCTCAGCCTCCCAAGTTCTGGGATGACAGGTGTGTGCCACTGTGTGCAGCTCTTTCCTGCCTTCTCACTCCCCTTCGCCCCAAATCACGCATCACTCACCCAACACCTGAATGACTTCTGGGCTCTAGGTCCTTCTTCCCCTGGTTTGCCTTAAAGCCAGTTACCACCTTCTTCTGGCTCCAGCTGTCAGAATAACCTAGAGCTTTGGAACTAGACAGGAAGTGGGATGGGAATTGGAACAAGTGTAAAATGGTAAAAATATTTCTTAAATTTGGAGCACCCTAGGTAGATTGTAATAATGCTCCACATCCATAGAAGACATTCCACCAGTGCTGTTTGTTCCAACAGTGGAATTCCAGGCCACCTAATCTTACCATTTGCTACCCAAGTTGCTGAAACCAAGCACATCCGACTATCTCACATTCGCTTTCTTCCAGACACACCTTTGCTCATGGGGTTCCCTCTCCAGGCTCTACTGGTTGTCCCAGCTCTGCTGACCTGTCACATGGATCCCTATGTACACCCAATCGCACGTCTTTGGGTTATTTCACTTTTTCTTAGTCATCCGTTTCACAGTTCTCTGGTAGCGCTCAGTCTAGCAGCAGGCTGGGTGTGGATGAAATGGATGGATCCCACCCTTCCCCAAGGACTGTTTCCAAACAGCACTGGCTGTGGGACTTAGGTGGGCCTGGTCTGGCTACTTAGAGGCTGGAGAGTCACAAAGTTCTGCTTCCCGGTTCCACTGTTTGCCGGCAAGTCTCCAAGGTTTGTGATCTCCTTGCCGACCACTCAGCATGATTCCTAAACCAGCGTTCCCTTCCCGACCTCTCTTCTGGGTCACTCAGACCAGGACCTTCCACACCTCGGTTCCCAACAGCCCACTCCCATGTCCTTGTCTGGCTAGGCCCGCTCATTTCTGTCTGGAAAACCTAACACCAAACCCCCCAGCCAACCTGCTCTCAGAGCCAGGACTGGGTGCCAGTCAGGACCCAGGCAGCTCCGTGAAGCTCCAATTCTTCCAGTCACCAGGAAGGCTTCTCAAACCTTATTTCCTGTATCTTACAGCGGCTGGGACACTGCCTGCACTCACTGGAGGCACTGTTTGTGACTGCTGGGTGGCCCTTCACTGTTCACAGTGCCGTTAGTTAGGTTGTAGGCTCTTGGGACAATAGACACTGTAGCTTAGGACACTGCCTGTCCTGGGTCCTGGCATGTGGCAGTTGTCAGTGTGTTCTTCAAAGGCACAATAGTTTGGGTGACACCAGAGTGGAGGCCAAGCTAGGATCTCCTGAAGTGAGCATCTCTACAACACACCAAGGCCTGGCACACAGGGTGCTACACTGGACCGCTGCAGTCTCACCCAATCTCACGTTCCAGGACAAGGGCTGGGCTGCACACCTTTGCCACTCTAGCACCCAGCCAGATTGGATGTGCAACGAAAAAAGGAAAACCTGGATCCTTGAGGGAATACTTTCACTTGATAGGGAAGGTACGCACTTCTGGACAATTTTATGGTGGTCCCCCAAATACCAGAGGAGTCCGTTTTTTTAAGAAAATTCTTAAATTGATCCAGAGATGCAGGACCTCGAAGAAAACTAGATGTGGTCATGTAAACCAATAAGACCGCTACCTCTGGTGGGATGTCAGAAATGAAATGCTTTTGCTGGAAAGCTAAGGGAAGGCTGAAGGATCTGTTTTCCTAGTTGGAGGTGCTTGTGGTTGCCTTTGTTCTGTGACAACCACCACCACCTTTCCATGCACAGGAAGAGGCTGGGCCTTTTACCAGATGTGGACTCCAGCTGCCACCCTTGTGAGTGGAGGGGGCTCCAAGCTACAGAAGGCCAGGCAAAGGGCTTAGCCACTAAAGGCCTGTGGCTTCCCATCAGCATGCCAATAAGCACTGTGACCAAGGGGCCGTCCATCCCCCAGCACCTGCCTTTGAAAACACCTGCCTTTCTCAGCCAAGACTTGGGCCTGCCAGTCCAGGCCCTTTTCTCCAGCCACTCAGAAACATCACTCCCTACTCACAAAACTGCCTGCTCTACCCGAAGCTTTTTTTTTGAGTCAGTATCTCACTATGCAGTCCACGCTGGCCCCAAACTCAGTCCTTTGCCTCAGCCTCCTGCGGGCTGGATTGGGAATACACTGCCATACCCAACTTAAAGTGCGTTCGTTGACACACCTCCCTTACACAGCTGGGTTCCCTGAGACCACCTGAAAGCGAACACTGGGCACTACCTCCTCCTACTCCTTCTCAGCATCCCCCGAAGGCTCCCTGCATGGGCTTGACACCACTTACCCAGACCACTCACTGCTGGCTGGTCCTACATGGTTGTTTTTGTTGGGGATCAAACTGAGGGTCTTGTGCATTGCTAGCCACATGCTGTGCCACTGAGCTATATCCCCACATCTCAAGCCCCATACAACCTGCTGTGCTATTTTTGGGAGTATGGGGGACTGAACCCAGGGCCTTATCTGGGCTGTCTCTCCAGATCTTTTTATAATTTTTGTAACAGACTCTCAGTAAGTTAAGTTGCCCAGGCTGGGCTTTAACTTATCCTGTCTCAGCCTCCCAGAGTGCTGGGATTACAGGCTTGTGTTGCCATGCCAGGCTTATGTTACCTTTTCTTATGGGACATTCCTAAATTTCAATAAAACACTTAGGGCAGAGGGCTCCCGTCTTTGGGAACTCATGTGAAGGGATCCCTCAACTATGATCAGGCGCATGTGGATGAGACTACACCGGCCAAGGTGCAGCCCCTCCCTCTCGAATGCAGGAATAGGGCTAAGGGGAAGGGGAATGATCACCCGACGGGTCGGTGAACAAGGGATGTGGGGCTGAAACCCAGTCCTGTGGGGCCCTTGGTCTCTTGGCTGGAAACGCAGGCTGTGCACAGCTCTCCCTCCCTATAGCATCAGTGTGAGCCTGCATGAGAATGAGAAAGGAAACAGCACAGCCCCTGAAGGAACAGACAGAAGCTGGTGTCAGTTATCACCTGGAGTTAAAAAGAGCTCAGACGGGGCCCATGGCTTGGCCCTAGAGTGAGGGTGGCTTTTATTTCCTCTTTTGGGGAAGGAAGAGGGGTGCTTTCCCAGGCTCCCCAACCTAAGGAAGGGGTGAGTGACCCCAGAGACGATTGTTCAGAAGGGTGTCCGTGTCTGCTTGCTGGCACTTGGTTGCAGGGTATGGCCAAGAGAGCGCCCTTGGGGTAGCAGCTCTGCATTAAAGAGGCACAAGGAGGTCTGTGCTGGTGTTCACAGGAGCGAGCAGGTACCCTGAGTGAAGGGCTGGGCGGGGCGGGGTGGCCAACCCCACACCCGACACCTGCCCAGGAGGCTAGCACTCCGAAGGCTGGCTGGTATGGTCCTCCCAAGAAGGGCCCAGGAGCCCAGAAGCACCACTCCGTCTGATGTCTGGTCCCTTAAATGTCCATCTCAAACTGTGACTCTTCACCTAGGGAGAGGAGAGACAGACTAAGCAACGTCAGATGAGAGTGCTGGGGCCCTGCGCTTTCATTCCCTAGTTCCTCCAAGAGCAGGCTGGGCTTATGTGCCAGGGGGAGGAGAGGAAAGGCAAGAGAGGCTAGGAATTCCCAGATGCCACAGGCTGAACCTTCCATGTCTAGCTGTATTCCTTTTCAATCTCAAGCCAAACAGCAGAGATCAGTTTTCCTCCTAGGTGAGGACAACAGTCCTGAGTTTTCTATAATTTTTATTTTTCATAAGGGTGATAGCTGGGTGTGGCAGTGCTTTCCTATAGTCCCAGTACTCAAGAGGCTGAGGAGGATCACTGTGCCAGCCTGAATTATATACACAGCAAGATCTTGTCTCAGAACCAAACCAAATGGAACTGAACTAAACTGAAATGGATGAACAGCTACTTGTGGCCTTATATAAAAGCGACTGCGTCAAAAATTATCCGTTCAACATAAAACTTCTAGTTGGGCATGGTGGTATACATCTGTAATCCCAGCACTCTGGGAGGCTGAGGCAGGAGATCACCAAGTTCAAGCCCAACCTGGGCAACTTTTATCTCAAAAAAAAAAGGGGGGGAGGAAGCCTGGGGATGTAACCAGCTTGAAGATCCTGGGCTCAATCCCCAGCACTGTAATAAATAAAACCGCTCAGCATCTGTCCTAGTGTTTGGTTTGGAAAACAGTAACATACTGGGCATATGTCCAATTGATGGAATAGCTTGACCCTGCTGTAAAGAAAAGCAGTTATCTAGATAATGCAGCCACTCCCTACCCTTATTCCCCTAACATTTCCATGTCATTCATGCTGCAGCAGGTTTTAAAGAAATTTTACATGGGCCAGGGATATAGCTCAGTGGCACAAGCATCTGCCTGGCAAGCGCAAGGTCCTGAGTTTGATTTCTGGTCCAAAAAACAAAACAAAACATAAAGAAATTTTACATCAAACTGCCTCATTCATGGTCTTCTGAGCAGAACGGCCCCAAGATTCTACATGGCCTCCAGATGGAAAGTATGCCCAGCAACAATGGTTATATTTACAGAAATATGTGACTCCAAGGGCACTTATCTTCTTGTATCCAGTTCAACAAAATGAAAATGTCTTGGCCCTGCCCTATCCTAGCCTAACAACCATGATTCTGGGTCCACTGCTGTGCACGTCAGGTACCACCAGGCTGAGCCTGCTCTTGCTATGGGCCAGAGCAGCTCTGTACACTGCACAAAAGCAGGAGTGGGCGACAGCCTTTGGGGCTGGTGGCTCAACAGCTGCAGGCTTGCCCAGGTCCATCCTCAATGTCATCCTGCTTTGATTTGAGACAGAAAGTGGAGGAGGGAGCTGAGCATGGTGGTACAACCTGTGATCCCTGTAATCTGGAAGGCTGGGGTAGGAGGACTGTCAAACTCTAGCCCAGCCTAGGCATTTTATTGACTTAAGACGGTGTCTCAAAAAATAAAGAGGGCTGGGGTGTGAAGGTTCTGGGTTCCACCTCCAATAGTGCAAAAAAGAAAAGCAAAGTGGAGATGGGAGCACTGTTGTGCTACCTGACAGGTCTCCATTCTCAGACCGTTGGCTGAGACCACATGGCCTTACAGTGCCTGTCACCCTGCTCTCCACATTCATCTCCTCCCCTGCCTCTCCCTCTAGACTGACACAAGCCCACCACTGCCCCTCTTGGGTGCTGGGGTCCTGTCCTGCAGGTCTGGGGAGGTGGCTCCTGCTGCTTCCTGGGCACTGCCTGGGTCTGGGCATGGCATCAGAGCTTTGCTCTCAGGAAGCTCTTGTGCCTTGTCCCTGCAGCGGGGAGTTCAGGGCTCTGGCCAGCCAGGCTTGACACACAAAGAGCACATTCCCACACATCGTGGCTAGGATGGCAGCTGGTGACCAGGAGGTGGGGACACCAGGAAGGGCCTTGCTACCAAATGTCAAAGCTGCAGACACCTGTGGTGAGGTGCACTGGCCTTTGGGCCGGCCCCTAGCCATGCAGGCCTGGGAGGCGGGCCCCAGGCACACGAGAAGCTGCATGGTTGAGAACTATCATGGCACAGAGAAGCAATGACACAAGTGGCCTGTCATGCGCTGGATGCGGAGGCCCGCCAGCAGACGTGCATGAATCATTCTGACATGGAGAAACCCCTGGGAATACGTGCCACACAACGAGTCGCTGTTGCCCCTGCCATTGAGAACCAAAAAGGTCGAGTCAGCGGAGGAGCAGCTGCTGAACAAGGACTCGGAGAACATGAGAATACAGACTATGCCCGAAGACTCAGAGGTCTAGTCAGGGGTCAGGAGAGCTGTTCAGAAGCTGGAAACCAGGAGGACCTTGCGCAATACCTGGGGAGACCGCCCCCCTGGAAGCCATTCTTCCCCTGACAGTACAGGCTGTGATGGAGGAGCACGTGGAGCTCCGGAGAGGTCTGCACTGAGATTTCTGCTGCCTGTGCTGACAGTTGAGGGGAGAACACTAAGAGGTTGTGGGGTCCCAATGCAATGGGAGGCTGGAGAGAAAAAGCTACAAAAAATGGCTTTTGCCCCAGATGGCTCACTTGAGATGTTAGTAAGAATTGCCTCCTCAGTATTCTATAGCCATGACAAGGAGGGGGCTAAGGAGAGAAAACAAAGAGATCGAGAAAAAGCAGCTGCTTGTGTTGCAGCACTAAGAGAAACAGACCCTAAGTCTGACTCTCAGGGCCCCAAGAAGAACTCGACGACTACATTCATCTACCACTGTTAAAAGCCAGGCCACCTCAAGAGGAACTGCCCTAAGAAGCCTCCTGGGCCATGCCCTGAATGCAAAGGAGACCACTGGAGATTGATCTGCGCTCTGAAGTGGAGGCCCCAGAGCTCAGACCCATCCTACCAGTTAGTCTAACAGGAATGAGGGGCCCAGGGCATACTCTGCCTTCTCCCTCTGGCGAGACTGTCATCTCCATGGAGGAGCCCTGGGTAATCGGACTATAGAGGAAAAAGAAAACAGCCTGTTGCTAGACACAGGTGCAAGTCTCTCAGTCCTTCTTTTCTTTTTTGGTTTTTCTCCGGTACCGGGAACTGAACTCACGACCTTGCGCTTGCCAGGCAGGCGCTTTTGCCGCTGAGCTAAATCCCCAGCCCCTCGGTCCTTCTTTTCAATCCTGGCCTTCCAGCCATCACACCTCAGTGAAAGGAGTCACTGGTGAGGAGGTAATACACTATTTTTGACAACCTTTAGGCTGTAACTACTTGTCAGATCTTTCTTACATATCTCTGTCTTCCTGAGAAACCACTTTGAAGATACCACCATGTATTACAGCAGCCATTGATATTTTCCTACTAATCTGTCCATAACTCTATAATGTTTGTATTGTTCCTATGCTATTTTGTAACTGGATGTGTGTTTATTACTATGTGTTTCCTACAACAACCATTGAGAATAGTCAATGATTATTCAATTAGTCACTCATGTATCTATTTATTTTCTTTAGAAACCACTTTGAAGAAACCAAAGTATAGTATAACAACTATTGATAATCTCCTACCACTTTTGTCTGTAACTTACTATTATTTGTCTATTTGTTTTCCTGAGAAACTATGCAGTATGTAAAACAACCATTGATAATTTCCTATCACTTTGTCTGTAATTTGGTAAGCCCCCCTATTACTATGTTATCCTTCTTTTACTCTTTAAGATTAAAAAACAAAAAGAAAAAAAAGCTGAGAGACAACAGGCCACACCGTTTCTGCCAGCTTCATACAGGGCCCAGCAAGGAGCCAACACACCCTGCAGGGTATTCTGGATGCACTGCCTGTCTGGTAGACGTGTAACTCCCTAGAGGGCAGGTATACCATGTCTTTATAATTGTCTCTGGCACCACAAACATTATGGGTGCATTCCAAGCACTGTGCATGTGCGGTAACAATTTAGGGGCAATTAGGCAGAGCTACTGGCACTTTATCTCTCTCTCTGTCTATCTGCCTTTATCTACCAATCTATCTATCTGATCTTACTATGTAGCACAGGCTGACCTGGTGTTGGAGACCACTATGAAATGGCTCTGAGCAGGATTTAATATTAACCAACTGGCTTTTCATATTACATGTGAGGTTGCCCGAGGCCTACGCTCTTGTCTGGAAATGGGCAGTGGACTCACAGTAAGTGAACCTCTATGAGTCCCTGGTCCCCGCTGAGGCCTACATTGATCTGTGAAGTCAATGAGATACCTCAAAGGACAAGATAATGTCACAGCTGGGGACGTTTGGCTCCAACCCTAATTAACTAAAAGGAGATTATAGCTGCAGACATCTCACTCCTGCGGTAAAGGTCTTCCTGGAGATAACATAGTTCTCCTAAATTAACACATGGAGAAGTCCTTCACAGGATTCCCAAATCCTGCCCAGATTCCTGCATTTTCTTTAGTATTCTCCTCCTTTGTTTGAAAACCTAATAAATAGGGGCTGCCTAGAGAAGTTCTTTGTCTAAAACCCCAAAATCACCAATTCTGTGAGCAGGTTAGGATCCTCTCAGAGCCCTGAAATCATTTCATTCATCTCATTTATTTCAGCCTTTGTTGTCTACTCATTTGGGAGATTGTGGTCCTGATCAGTCTGTAATAACTAGGGGATAATATTAATGAAAGAACCTTGAATTTCCTATGTAGCTCAGCCTGGGCCTCAAACTGTCCATCCTCCTGCCTCAGCCTCCTGAATGCTGGGATTATACCCAGTTTGCCATTTTAGATCAGCTCTCCATTAACTTAAGTTACCTCATAGCACAAAATTACCATCCCTGTGGTTCTTGGGCCCCTCAAGGAAGGAAAGCTAATACTACTTAGGGTTCCACCTCCCTGCCCTACTTCTACCCTCTGGATTCTGAGGGTATGAAAGTCACTGGTGTCCCCCTCCCCAGAATTCCCTGGGCACAGGGCTCCTTTGCACTACTCACCACCTGCTGGCTTGTCTTCTGGACTGCTGCGCAGGTGGCTGTGGCTGGCATCCATGGAGGACTCGTCACTGGTAGGGCTGGTGACCCCAGGGATGGTAGGCAGGTCCCTCGGGGGTGTTTTGGCCACAGGGGAGTTTCGGCACTCCATCAGGAATTTCCGGTCATAGATGATCCTGGTCCCTGGAAGGGCACAGGGAAGTTGGTGAAGCTACTGTGAAGTCGCTGCTGGCAGGGATCCCTGCCTTTAGAGGAGTGGCTCCAGAAGGTCATGGTTCTTTTATAAAATCCCACCGAGATTCATCCAGGGAATTGTGGCAGTGCAGGGCCCTGCTGACCCTCAGCCCTCGGGGTGCCTGGGGGAAGGGCCTCGCCAGTGCTGGCCAAGCCGGCGAGTGCTCGGAGCTCTGCACACCCAAAGAGCTGTGTCCCTACAGTCCCTCATCACCTTACCTGCGACAGCTCAGTGTCAGGACCCAGGACAACTATACCCGACAGGAGAAAGTGACTCCCCTTTGGCATTCGACACTGTTCTAACAGTGCTTCAGGGGACACCAGAACATCTTTTTGTCAACACAGAGGATCGAACCCAGGAGGCACTGAATTACATCCCTGACCTTTTTTATTCTTTGAGACAAGATCTTGCTAAATTGCCCAGACTAGTCTCAAACTTGCAATCTTCCTGCTCCAGCCTTCTGAGTAGCTGGGATTACAGATATGTACTACCACACCTGTCCACAATAGGTATTCTTTTTAGGGGTGTGTGCGTGGGGAGGGTACTGGGGATTGAACCCAGAGCCTTTGCACTGAGATGCATTCCCAGATCCCTGGCCTTTTATTTTTTTATTTTGAGGCAGGGCCTTACCAAGTTGCTGAGTTGCCAGAGCTGGGTTAAAACTTTTGATCTTCCTGTGTGGTGGTGAACACCTGTAATCCCAGCACTTGGGAGGCTGAGGCAGGAGGATCGTTACGAGTTCGAGGCTACAAAATGAGTTCAAGACCAATCTGAATTGCATAGTGAGATCCTGTCTCAGAAAGACCAAAAACAAACCCAAAAAACTTTTTATATCCCTTTGTCAGCCTCTAGAGTGGCTGGATTACACATGTGCCACCAAGCTTGTCCAGAACAGGCATCTTTAACCCCATTTTACAAATTAGTGAACAGGCAGGCATGGTAGCCAGCACTTGGGAGGCTGAAGCAGGAGGACTGCCATAAGTTCAAGACCAGCCCAGGCTACACAGTGAGTTCAGGCCTAGCTTGGACAACATAGTGAGACCTTGTCTCGGAAAAACAGTAGCAAAAAGAGTGGACAGGAAAATCAAGTGACTCATTCAAACTAGTAAGAACAAAACCCTTAGTTGAGAGTGGTAGCTCAGTGCAAAGGCCCTGAGTTTAGTCTCCAGGACAGAAAAGCAACAGCCCTCACACACAGCCATGCTCCATGGAGACCGCATGTCCCTGCCGCGTCCCAGCACTTCAGAGAGGCTGCAGCCTATGCTTTCATCCTGACCTCTTCTCCCACATGCAGCCAGACTCCAGAGTGAGGGACTCCAGAGTGAGCACTGCTTCAGAACTACTCACTGCCTTGACCGTACCCGGCCTTCTCCCTGCTGCTGCAGGAGGAGCACTGGAGGGGTCCCCAGGCCAGGGTCCAAGGAAGCAGCTGCCTGCAAGGCAGAGAGGGCTGCTTGTGCTGGTATTGCCTGGGCAGCAGCAGTGTGGACCGCATGGCCCTGCACAGTGGACATTGGGCCTGGAGTACAGAGCCTGTGGCCGGCAACACATCCTGCTCCAAGTAAAGATGTCATCACACTTCCTTTTGTAACTGCCTGCTATTCAAGCCAGTGAGTTTGGTTTTCAAGTTTCCTTTGAATTTATAGTAATTCTCAATATACAACAGGTGTGGTGGTGCACACCTGTAATCCCAACACTGTGGGAACCCACAGCAGGAGGACTCCAAGTTTGAGCCTGCCCTGGCAATTTAGTGACTTAATGAGACCTTGTCTGGAGGGAGAGGAAAAAAAAAGGGGTGCAGGTATAGATCACTGCAAGGTCCTGGGCTCACTTTGAGTATGGGGTGGGGACAAAAACTGCAAAATAATATTTAATATTGTACTATTTATGTAAGTTGTGCTATATAATATATAATAAAATATGATAAAATTCAAAAGTAAAGATGATATAAAGAGAAATATTAAGCTAGGCACAGTGGTGCATGTCTGTAATCTCAGCTACTCAGGAGGCTGAGGCAGGAGGGTCCAGGCCCAACCCAGGCAACTTAACCTATCTTAAAATAAGAAAAATAAAAGGGCTGGGATAGTAGTTCAGGAAGAAGTGACTAGGTCAATTCCCAGTAGTGCGGGGAGAGGGTGGGATGGGGTATTAAAGCTGAGTGTAAGTAGAATTCAAAGTACTATGATAAGGGCTGGAGGTGTAGCTCAGTCATAGAGCACTTCCTGGTAGGTATGAGATCCTGGTTTTGATCTTCGGCACTACAAAATAAAAACTGAAATATCAGCCGGACATAGTGGCATATACCTGTAATCCCAGCATTTAGGAGGCTGAAGGAAGAGGTCTGCCACAAGACTAAGGGGCTATAGAGTGAGTTTAAAACCACCCTGAACTATAAAACAAGACCCTCTTTCAGCAAATTGAAAAGAAAAAAATCATTAATATTGTGCAGATGAGCTGAGTGTGGTGGTGCATGCAGGTAATCCCAGCATGGGATTGGGAGGCTGAGACAGGAGGATCACTGTGAGTTTGAGGCCAGCCTGGGCTACAGAGCCAGTTTAAAGCTGGCCAAAACTATAAAGTAAAACCTTTCTCTCCAAAATAAAAAGTCAGAAGGCACTTACCTATCTGTAGGTGTGGGACTGAGATTCTAGACTCCATTGTCTGCTTATAGCATCCCTGACCCAGAGAAACAGCTACTCACCCCAATCCTGCATGGCCCAATGGGTGGGGATCAGTGGAAGGGTGTGTTGAGGACCCCTGATACTGGAGGGGACCCAGAGATCATGCAGACAGGGACTGTGATGTTCCACCCTAAGCCTCAGACCCTCTGTGTCACTGGGCTCCAGTCATTTTTGGATCTGGGCTTCAGTCTTGAACTACCCAGAACAGCTGAGGCTACCATTTTTTTTATTTGTGTTTGTTTGTTTAGAGGTAAGGTCTTACTATGTAGTCCAGGCTGACTTCAAATTCCCGGGCTGCCTCAGCCACGGGTACTGGGATTACAGGCATGAGCCACCACGCCCAGATCTATCCTGCTATAGTACTTCTAAAGGAGTCTTCAGAAACCAACTTCCCATCTGTTAGCACTGAGCTGCAGGGAAGCCAGCACTTCTGCTTGCTGTGCTGCAGGAGCAGAAGGCTGTGAAGGCAGGATGTGCCCACCCATTGGGTTGGGGGGCGGATCAGGACAGCAGCCGATGCAAGCCAGCCACCCACACCCCTTGTGGGGAGGACGACACACATCACACATGTATTCGGGCCCCACTCACACCAAGAACCAATCACAGGGCTGTGGCAATGGAGACAGGAGATAAAACTCTGGAGATGCAGGAGAATCACAAATTCAAGCCCAGACCGGGCAACTTAGCAAGACTCTGCCTCAAAATTTAAAAAAACGGCTGGGGATGTAGCTCAGTGCAAAAGGCCCTAGGCTCAATGGTCAGTATCAGAAAAAGAAAAAAGAGAAAAAAGCCAAATGAGGTGGCACACAGCCCTAATCCCAGCACTTGGGAGTCTGAGGCAGGAGGACTGCCACAAGTATGAGGCTAGCCTGGGCTATATAGTGAGACTCTGTCTCAAAAACCCAGAACCCAGGGCTGGGAAGATGGCTCAGCGGCACAGCACCTGCCTAGCAAGTACAAGGTCCTGAGTTCAAGTCCTGGTACCAAAAACAAAACAAAGCAGAAAAACCACCAAAACCCACAAACTCCAGAACCCAAAACCCAAACCAAAATCCAAAACAAAAACTGTTGGGAGTGGTTAAAGCTGGAGAGTAATTACGCATGCAGGACGAAGCCAGCCTGAGAACATGGGAGCTCCTCGAAGCATGTAAACAAGCTGTTGCAGCTTGTTAACTGATTGCTAGGTAGACAGGCTGAAATTAATATCAACCACTCCAGGGTATAAATAAACACTACGTTCTTGGGCAGTTCTTCTCCTCGACTTAGGAGACAGAGGCTTCCACCTGACCCAGCTATTGTCTCTTGTCTTTTTCTCATTCCCTGCCACGGCTGTTCCTCCCCAGGGTACATTAAGAGTCCAATGACTCCCTACAAAAAATCCCTGGCAACAGATTCAGGGGAGGGATGCTGAGCCTGCCTCTATCCTTTCTAGGCTTGAAAAATCCAAGAACCACCACCATGAACTTGAATCTGGGCACATTGTACTCCCAGAGTCCTTCGGGACTTCAAACTCAGATGTACATCAAATATAGGAGAGTATTTTTTCTCGAGGCGCTCTCTGTGCCGATGGCAGTTTGCCTAAAACAATACATACATTCCTTAGGGTAGTGGTAGCCAACCTACGTGCAGTAGCAGTGGGCTGCTTGTAACCCTGAAAGTTCTGAAAGGTTTGCCATTGCTGCCTGAAGGTCTGATTTTCTCACTGATGAAACAAGTCTCATACTAGAATCCTCCCTGCTATTTTTAAAGCACCAGCCATGCCCCTTCTATTTTTAGGATCAGTTGGCAGGTGCTTAATGTAAATATAACATGAGACTTGAGGCAGAAATTCTGGGCTCAACCGAGGGTCACTACACACCAGTTCCTCAACTCCAAGTCACAGCTTCATCCTCCACTACAAGAGGAAGAATGACATATATGCTGAGTATGGTGGCACACACCCGTAATCCTAGTACTTGAGAGGCTAAGGCAGGAGGACCTGCAAGTTCAAGGCCAGCCTTGGCTACACAGTGAGTTCAAGCCCACCCCAAACTACAGAGAGACCCTGTCTCAAACAAACAAAAAAACTCTTTCTTAAAAAGGGCTAGGGATGTACCATAGCTCAGTGTGAAAGCCCTGGAAAGTACTGAAGGAGGAGAGGAGAGGGGAGGGAAGGTGTCGGAGAGGAAGGATGCATATCTCCAGGGAATATTATGAAGAGTAAATTACAAATGTCAAGATTCTTTTGAGGGCTAGAACTATAGCTCACTACTAGGGTACTTACTAGC